TTCAATCTTCCATAGCTTGTGACTGTCAAATGATATACATCAGTTTCTTCCGTGAACAAAGATAATAGCCAGAATTTCAACGTTCGATCAGACAATTCCGTGGCGTTCTACACCGCGACACCACGCAGCGACCTAGATCCAGGAGATATGTTGGTGTATCTTAGGCAACCAAGAGTTTGTGACTTCTCCATCGAACCCTATGAAGATCGCTGAGCGAATTTGAAGGGGTACAGTTCATTTGGGGGAGGGAAGAAAGACTCCTCAAAGGCCACAAGGATCCACACAGGGACAGGGTGATAAACGCGTTGATTCTGGATTCTGATAGAAACCCGCCAACCGAAGGGAAAGAATGGAAGCCACAGTATCTCAGAGCAAGTCTGGCGTATCGATAATGGCGGGAGGGGATTATTTGGTTATAGACTCAAACCATTCTCACGGTTCACCGTCAAGTTATGGCGGTCGATCAACTCGGGCAAGTTTACAGACGAGGGTTAAGCAGAAGGTAGGTTGGCCACAGAGATCGCGCGAAGAGACTCGGTCTAGAGAACAGCCCTCCACATTCTGCATCATCCCCGTCGACAGTCCGTTGCAGGTAGTACTAAAAAGCGAGGCGGTGATGGACTGGCACTAGCGTGCAAGTTTACAGACGCCTGGCGATATGAAAGTGGCGACCCCGCTTGTATAGTTATTGACGGGACGAAGGGGAGTATGAGAACCGAGAGCCAGCGACTCTGGTAGAAATGTGTGGGCCGACGTAGCTTCAACGGCGAGGAAGCTAAAGTTGATGATGATGATAAGACGAATGAGGGCAGAGTCGGGGAACGGCGAAGTGCAGCGTGCCGTTCAGATCAAGAGTATCATTGACGGCCATTTTGAGGAGTACTGAGGGAGAGAGGGCTAGTCTGTAAACGTCGGAAGGGCATACCAATGATCACATGAAAACGGCCTTGCCTTGGCATAATTATCTTCCTACGAGGTCGATTTTTCTACTTTGCGGGTCTTCTGGATGGTTTTGGATTGAATCTGAAGGCAGACTAGTCGCTTCTGAAAGAAAGAGTAAAGATCGAGTGATTTTGATATCATAGACATCGCGTAACAGAAAAATGCTTCAAGAGCTCTTTCTGTGCAGATACGTCAGCAGATCAACTTCTAGTGGCCGCGGAGCATGTCCTCCTTCCGACGTACCTGTGAGCAAGCATCGATGATTCCATTATCACGTCAAATACTGTAGCTTAGACCTGTGACGCATCGATGAAGGTGTACTTGCCTGCCTGCTCGGTGCCGGTCACAGGTCTAGTCCTAGCTCTCGCCCGTTCCGAGGGTCAGTGGTCGGGGTCGGACCGTCGCGAATGAGCAAAGGATGAGAAATATTGCAAAAGCTTTCTTCTTGGCGCGTCAAGTGCGTGAAAATGACCTGCCCAGTTGACGCGGCGTGGTGTGAAAATCCAAAAAGGGAGCCGCCGGATCGGATCTGTACAATGGTGAGCACAGCCACATCTTGCTCTTGTCTCAGTTCAAGCAAAAGTTCGGTAATAAATTCTGGCGCGCCGCATGAATAAGTATCCAATTATTCTTTCTTCTCTTCAGCCACCTAACTTCCACCTTCAAGGTCACGCCAAATATCGGTCGGTCCTGCGAGGTCAGCTTCAAGTTGTCGAGGGATGTAGGTGCACCTTCGTTACACTCTCGGACTGCTCTCTGAAATTTATTTCTAGTCATTATTCCGAATGGAACCAATTGCGCTATGCAACAATTGCGGCCAATTGTTCGATACTCAAGCCCCTTCTTTGCGTCTTGATGCCGATACATATCTACGCAGCGGGCGAGAGATCAACACATCAGAAACGGAGCTTTGTTCAAGTACTATCGTTGATTTGCAGAAGAAGATATCAGAATACGATGCTGAAGTGTCTCGACTGAATACCGTGCTGGAGAAACTCAAAGCCGGTCGACAATCCCTCGCGCGGTGCTCGAAGAAATTCGAATCCCTATTGTCCCCGATTCGCAGGCTGCCTCGTGATGTACTCGGGGAAATATTCGAATTCATCTGTACCTCCGTATCCCATGATGCCTTTCTCTCGCGTGATGACTTACCACTGGTATCCACTACGCCCTTCTATCTTTCCTCCGTTTGCGCCTATTGGCGTGACGTCTGTATATCATCCCCCATACTCTGGACATCCGTCCTCGCCAATATCGACCGCAGGGGCGCCTCCCTTCAGTTTCTCCGTGTAACAGAATTATTCAGACAGCGCTCTGGTACGCGCCTCTTGAATCTCCAGATGTCAGTGGAATTCGGGGAGATCAAAGAAGAAGTCAGTTACAAGGACGTACAACGGAGACTGCGTCATACCGTGACTTCTCTCTTCTACAGCCCCGATGCGCTGAATCTACAGCGACTGAAGCGTATCGGCATCGATTCCCGGACCATCCACTTGTGGGATGTTTTCCGAAAAGATATCCAGCCTGAATTCCCTGAGCTCGAACACCTCGAGTTTTCAGGTGACGTAGAATTCTCTGGGGTGCATCCAATCAAGCTGTTCGAATGCGCTCCGAAACTGCATACCCTTGCACTCAATGCCTTCCATAGCACGTGTTTTCGTTTACCGAACGAACAAATCACTACCATCTACTTTGCGAATGTTCCTTCCTTCGTCTACCCATCGCGGGCTCACAACTTCCCCAACGCCACGTCTGCAACCTTCAGAAGATGCGGCTATCTGTCATTTGAAGATGCTGAATTTCCCTTCCAGAGGCTCGTTCTCCACGGCTGCCTCCCAGCCTTTCATTGGATGGGGTCAATGCCCCATCTGGCGTCTTTAGAGCTTATCGATATCGACTGCACGAATAGCAGCGAGTCCGATGATCTAAGGAACACAATTTGCGATCTAGCAAAATACCTCTCAAAATCCCCCCTTCTCACGGAGCTCGTATTGAACGCACTTATTATCGGTCATCCCGAAATGCTCTCCCTCCTTCATGCAGTTCCACAACTCAGACGGTTGTCCATCGTCGAACGGATCGATACGCGTCTCAGGGTCATTTCCCCTCGGTTCATCGAAGAACTCGGTGATCTAGAGATGCTGCAGGAGCTAGAGCATCTGCAGCTAGTCTGGTCGGACGAGGTGGATGAGGGGGCAGTCTTGGACGTGTTGGAAAAGCGACTGTCGAAGTCTGCTGTTATAGGCGTGAGAGAGGGAGGTGAGCTCAGACCGGACACCCTGTCTCGCGTCGATGCTCTCCAAAAGTCTGGTACACGAATAACGCTCTGGTAGAGAAGGATACTGCCGTGCCTGTATTATATTTATAAACGAAAGACTCATATCACCAATGGAATCTTCCTCCAGATTGCTGCAAAAGGATACGCGTCAGGTACACTGAACGGGTCGCTGCAGCTCCTGAGCTAATTTGGCCAGTACGATGGCAGTAAGGCATACTTCAGTGCTGCTGGGGTCAGAAGGCCTGGAATGTAACTTGAAATCCTTTATTTCTTGGCGAAGTGTCTTTATAGCTCTCCTTTATCTACTGTGATAGAAAGATAAGGTTTTCGCGGGTATCCCGACCAGATGTCCCAAAGTCGAACGATGGTTGCGCCCTGCACGCGGGCCCGAACATCTGCATCATTCAAAGAAGGCAAAAAGCGATGCGGTGCATTTGAAAACCCGATCGGCAACTCCGGGCCACGCGGCTTTATCATGCGCTTGACCTCTAACCTCAACCAACATACGACTTTTTCTCTTCCTCCCCACCAAAGCCATGGAATCATTTTCCTGGTCGGATTCCTTTCGTGCTGCGATATCTGCTTGCATGCCCTGCCTCGCCAGAGAGGTTCATGATCATGACGACCCCACCAACAGCGGCTATCAGCGGCTGCCCCAAAACCTCGAACACCTGCTGCAGGATCCGGGAACTGACACGGAGGCAGAGACGTTGTCTCTGCACTCGAATATCGGTGACAACAACCGCAGAAGGAAGAAAAAGCGACAAACTAGGCGTATAACATTCTTTGGGTTCAACCTCTTCGGGAAACCGAAACCCCCCATCCATCTTGACGAAGACGAGGATGACAACACCCTTCGCCGTTCGCGCACCTCCACGTCACGGACATCTTCTACGGGTTTTGACTCTGACGCTGCACCGCTTGACTCGGCAGCGATAGACAGCATGACTCCGGAACAGCTCCAGGAGCGAGCACAGGCAGCAGAGGAGGAGGAAAGGCGTGCGAAAGAGGAACGGCGCAAACGGAGACGAGAGCGTAAGGAGATGAAGCGGCTCGCCCAGGCTTTGGCTGCTGGAACTGCAGATGCTGAAGAGTTTGAGGGATTTCAGGGCAGTGGCTCTGTCACTGGAGAGTACCCGCATATTCCCTCTCCCGGGTTCTACAGCACGCCGCCTCCGTCTCATCCAGATGTCGATACTGAAGCAGACGATGGTGCAGACCTTGATGGAGGAATGTATGTCGGCAGGAGAGAGCACCATGGCAGCAGCGGCGGGTCCGATTCGCGACTTACTTCGTCGGACGCCTCTTCGCAGATTCGGTACCACAGCCAACAGCTCGCCCCCACCGCTCATCTGCCTAATCTCACTCCTTCATCTCTCCCTATAAAGAAGAAGTCTTCAAAGTCCAAGTCGCGTTCTTCTGGGACATCTTCGCAATCTCAGTCTTTAGCGTCACCTGTGGGACACTCATTTCCCCAGAGGTTCGGTTCCAAGGGAGATGCCGTTGATGAGAGTGGGTTTCCCAGTCAGGGCCTCTCAATGGGAGGAGATAGGCAATCATTCAGAAGTGGACGAGGAGGGGCGTTCTTAGCCAACCACGGCGCCGATTGAAAAGGTTGCAGGATTAAGATAATACCAGCGGATGGAGGAATACCTGTAAAGGGGATCTTTTCGTATGATATAACTTCGTTATTGTATTGAAGTTGAACATTACTATGCATGATTTTTTGCCCACCTACGCTTCAGATGTATGAATAGTGCGGATGTCATCAATTCAGAATGTCGGTATCGATTAGGGGGGGAAATCACTTCGTTGTGGTAATATCGTTCCGAAGAGCCGCTGGTTCGATTCCAGCTACCGACAATCTCGTAGCAATATAGACCTTGCGTTTTAATTTTTTTTTAAACTGGTTTCTTCCGGGCGGTAGGGCTGTGCAGTGCTAGGGTTGCGCACGAAACCTCCAGGGGGGGTAACCTACCGTTTTTTACCGACCCCTCCCCAAGGGGGGTGTTTTACCTTGCTTGTCAAGGTCTCTCTAGGTCTAAAATCTTCGCTTACCAAGGAGAGGTCGTCACGTGTTGCATGTGATACAACGTAATGTGCGCGTCATGATTCTTGGTCCACCGCTTTTCATGGTATCCAAGGTATACCTCCCGGGTAGACAGAGAAACTGTGGTCTTCGCTCACAAGAGGCCTGAGAAAACATGAAGGGGCCTGCCTTTTGAGGCACATGGAGGGTGAGTGCACGCTGCACCTAGTACCTACTACTGTCAGGGTGGTTCTCTCCAAGTACTCTCCAGGCTGGGATTTTTTTAGCATCTCGTTAACTGCTACAAATACACTAACTACTAAGACATGGTGGAGGTACAGGTCCTCAGGCTCCCTCTTTCCTCTTGTCACAACCCCTCTGCTCATTAATCTGATTTCCACTGATACTAGCTCAGCGTGTGATGTAGAGTAAAGTAATGGACATTTACAGTACTTTTGTGTTGGGCTGACCTGCTCGAATTATATACCACGCTCCATTCTTCAGATCTTCTGAATCTCTTCCTTGGATATTGGTAGGATCCACAAAATCACATTGTCGTCACCTCGGAAGTGCACTGTGCAAAGCAAGCTGTGTGAACACTGCTCAAGCAAGGTATCAAAGTCGTCGACCGACGACCGCTAGTTGATACGGTAACTTACTGTTACTTACCCTATCACGTGTAGCTTCACATGACTGACGCGCGGCATTTGCAATTTTTTTCGAACATCTTCATCTTCGTGTTATTCTACACATTTTTCTTTCTCCTGAAGTATAACTCATTGAAAATCACTACTGAGCTATGTTTTACGTTGTAAATGAAATATGAATGCAATAGGACTGAGTATGGTGGTGATATTGCTGCTCATATGTCATCACATGACAGGTAAGTTACCTCGACGAAAACCGCTCCAGCGGGGAGAGGTAAATTACCAGTAACTAACCGGTAACTTACCAGTCCGAAACCCTAGTGTATCAAAACCTAGGGTTTCGTGCGCAACCCTACCGAGCGGCGGGATCCATTAATTTCTAGCGGCTAGCCTGCACAGTGCACAAGCAGGCTACACTGTGCACACTGCAGGTCCTGGCTACTGCGTCTAGGAGACCAGGCCCGGGCAAGCTTTGAACTTTGAAGCTTCAAGTCCATTAGCGTTACCAATCCAGCAATAATAATATTTTTCTGAAACTCCAATCTAATTCTTGGCCCGAAATTTCAGGTTACTTCCCAATAGAACTATGACACAACGACCGTCGAGAAAGCTATATCGATGAGGAAATAAAGCGAGTTCAAGCCGGTTCTAACTCCTCAAAGTGCGTTATTTCCAAAGAACTTTTTTTGTGCCGTTAACAATATTTCTGTAAATTGAAGCCAGCCTATTGGTCTTGATCAATCGGGAGTAACACCCGGTCGGGCCTCTAACTTCAAGCCTGGTCAGCGCGAACCTCCAACATCATATTTCCATTCTAGAACTGTAGCGCTATGGCAATTGGAGAAGATAGGTATGGTGAGCTTTACTGATGCGACCTTCCAGCGTTGCGCCCCATCATCCTTCTCGCGTCGTACATTGCCCACCCTAACGGCCTATATGTCACTAAATAACTCGCCACTATTCAACTGGTACTAGCGGAAAGTGAACTTGTCGACTCTGCCAGTGCCCGGTGGTCCAGGGTTTCTCTTCAACTGCGCAGGACACCTTTCTCTATAGAGGACTTCTTCAAGGGCTACCTTGGTCTTGGTATCCCGTGCGTCGCCAAATGATTAAGTCTTCGACGTCCCGGCCACTGCCCGAGCCATGGAGATACTCCCAATATAGGCAGTTCGTTAGTCCTGTCGCCACCTCAGGCGGACATTATACGCAAATCCCAACCCCCCGTCCCATCATTTCCACCTTTGGGATCAAAAACCACGCAATGTTAACGTTGTTCCAAATCCGGCCCAGCCTTTCTCCTACATCGCAACAAGGTATCGTCCGTATTTGGAACTCCCTTTGAGCTTTGTGCTCTCTCTCTCATATAAACCCTCAAGGATGGGGAGAGGGGCTCTATTGTTCTCCTCTCGCCAGTCCATTCTTTCAAGTTTGTCGAACAATTAAAAACTTTTTGCACATAATTCGATATGCGCTGTGTTTCACTGGTCGTTTTGGTGTTGAGCTCGCGTGAGTTTCTTTTCCCTCCCCTCTCCTCCCCTTGTGCCTTACTGACTACACCCTGCATCTAGTGACTGTCCTCGTCGCGTCCACACCGATACCTGAACCGGTACCCGTACCTGTTCCCGTACTCGATGCACCCGAAGTCGATGTACGTTCGCTTTGCTGACTTTCATCTTGGTCACCGTCTCACCTTTTTGTCCCTAGGCCCGGGAACCAACACCTGAGGCTCAGCCCGACCCAGCTGGCTGCCGTACCGCACGATTCTCCTGCTTCTAAGCAATACGTAGGTCCCGTCCCACCCACTCATGCCTCCATCGAATGCTGATGGTCCTTTCAGTACTAGATATAGAAAAGTCTAGAGCGCAACCCGCCCATCCTTCTTTCCCCAGCGCGCTACCCACTGCATACCCACTCACTCACTCATTCATCATCTCGACTCGTCCTCTCGCACTTTCATTCATCATAGAGCTGCAAGTGTCAGATTGTATCGCTAGTTAATTTACTTCGTGTCTTTCTCGTCCTCTCCGGATCGTGTTGTTTTGTTTATCTGTTTTCGTGTGTGCTGTGTAACATTATTGTGGATATCTATACAACGTTCAAGCATCGGGATTGCCTGTCTTCTCGCTACTGGCCGTAGAATAAGGAATGAACACCTGGTATCATCTTCTCGACGTCAAGAAACAATGTATCAAATCAAAGTACAAAGGATGTTGATGGGTAAATTTCGCTGGCATGCGCCGCCGCCATTCTATCCACCAGTCTCGTAACCTTGGTCTCCACATGGCTACCTTTGAGCTTTTGTACTTATTCCGGAAGTTCTTGTTATCCTTCAAATTCCTTTCACTCTGGGCGAGAATTATGCGTTCATTTCATACATTCATTTTCTAATTTATTGACAGCGGTACCGTCATCAGAAGGATGGTCACATCAGACGGGTGATAGATTCGCGCAGACACCTCACAACGAAACGGCATCGTAAAGAATTTCGTCAGCGTGTTACGCCCTTCCCCCAAATTAGGTTCATTACATCCAGCAAAAATTTATATTCTTTGACATGGAATATCAAGAGAACGGTCCATACTAAAGACAAAGAATCATGGATGTCGGGACCAACGCAAATCAGTGAGCAAAGAAAGTGCAAGTGCAAGACAGATACCCAGCGAAGGGATCTTGTCGTGAGAAATACTCGCAACGTCGAGGCCAGGATGCACTTGTACCAAAGACAAGATCTCGGAGGTGGAGCGTGGGAGGTCAAGGAAGCGAGAATACTTCCGAACTAAGCATGGGTGTTGAACACGGTAGGTGCTGGCTGGCGCAATTTGGGCTCCTTGACGTGTATAAATCAGATGAGATCATCTGAGCATTTTTACTCGTCCAAGTTGGGAGTATGGAAAATATGTTTCCTTCATATACAAACCAAGGCAGAGACGCAGGTGGCGTCGAGCTCCGTTTTGGGGACACTATCACGTTGCGCCCAAGTTTGATGACACCGAGTTCTTTTGGATTTGTTGCTCTCCGGCAAGTCTTCCTCGGTTCCCCCTCCCTGCTCTTCGTCGACAGTGGGAAGGGCCATGAATCTCCCCCGAAAAAAGATTGGGATGTTGAAGTGATCAAGGGGTTCCGCATGAATGAATTAAAATACGGTGGAGAGGAAGCCGAGGACAGGGAATCGAAATGCCCCAACAGAGTGAAGGAGATTTCTCCCAAGGGTTAGAGGTAAGACGGGGCGGGCGGTCTGTTGCGTTGGATTTTGGGCGGGAGAGTTTGTGGGTGATCGCTTGTGACGCCGACACGAGGTTATCACACCGAAATAAGTAAAATTTGCCATTTGGATGTTGAACTACTGCAAAGAGTAATTCGCCGCGGGTGGATGCCTTCAAATTCGGCTGGCGTGGCGTTCATCCCATACATTCTTCCAGTGATGTGGTAGCTTCATCAGAAGGTAGACGGACGGGTGATGGATCGATACTTTGTACGTGCAGAACATAAGCACGACATCTTTCAGGCTTAGATCGATAAAGAATTCCGCCAGCCTGTTACACGCGTTGACGTTACTGGCTGTCAACAAACAAAGGGAGATGGGGTATCAGGACAAAGAATGAACTAACATTGTGGGGCCAACAATGAAAGGAACAAGAGCTCCCGGAACGAGGGAATCGTTAAGGCCCGTATAAGAGTGCCAAAACCGTAAGAGGGGTTATACCAGAGCGAGGAAAACAGGGCGACCTAAGCATAGATGTTGAACACAGTGGGTGCTTGGAGAAAAAGCTCTCGTCGAATTTCTTGTGGGAAACGGTGGGACTTCCATTTAACAAACGTTATACCATACAACGTTCGTTCCATGCCATTATTTGCGAGGCGGAGAAGACAATGGGAGGCGACATGTCAACACATGGGAAGCATGGGGCGTCGAATCAAAAGAAGCGGTGGAGAGTGAGGGATTGATAACGACAAGGGCCCCAACAACGAGGTCGGGGTCGGGAGCTTGGCGGGGTAACGCGTACCGAAATAAGTTGTTGAAGAGTAATGCCCCGCGGATGGATGCTTTCAAGTTCGGCTGGCGTGGTGTTCATTTTTCTGATGTGGCAGCTTCATCAGAAGGCAGACGGACGGGTGATAGATCGATGCCTTGTACGCGCAGAACATAAGCACGATATCTTTCAAAATGATAGATCGATAAAGAATTT